TACCGTTTTGGTCGAATGCAAGTGTTTAGAGTAATTGAAATAGAACGAATAGCGTCGAGTAAACATTTTGAACGTCATAGCTAATTAGACGTTATTTTGAATTTAAAAAGAAATAAGGAATAATGAAAATTTTCTTATGGCTGAGAGCAACGCGTAAATCTGGAGCGAGAGTCAACGTGATAAGTGAGAAATGTAGACGATTGAATTTATGTGAAATGAAATAGAATAAAGACGAGGTGACTTCGACGGTTAATTTTTACACAGGCTCTTAGAAGTTCACTTTTTACATAAAACGTTGCTGTAACATTGTCAGAAACGCCGAAAGGGTGACTTCCAGGAGTATTCAAACCCCGTGCCGTTATTCACAGGAGGCTTCTGGCCGAAAGAAGCCGAAAAAATTCAAGGAAGAGGAGAAAAAAGTGCCTGTCTTTCCTGGAATCCTGGAATCCCGCGGGAAACAGCGCAATCCCGGATTCACCGCGGTCGTAAAGATCCTTCTTCATCGTAAAGTCCCTCATTGTCTCAGATTACAGTCTTCGAGGCAAGCTGTCGCGGAGACTTCCCCCTTCTTCCACGAAGAAATCTACAAAGATTTGGCGCACCAAGCCATACAAATGATCGAGACTCCATGACAATTGCATCCCCAACGATATTCATCTTATCAGACCGCCTATTCAACCGTCGAAAAAGAAGCAACAATCAACAACTCCGTGAGATTCCATCTCCACGTCACAGCTTCATTCTCCAACTGTCTCGAAACATTCAACCATCCTTATAGTAACTATCGGGTGTACCGATAAATTGTCCGCCAGTTTTTTAAGAAGTTAGAACACCACAACAGACAAATAGTACGAATTTTCGACAAATTTTCTCTGTTTGAGCGAAGAAGTGGACAAACAAAATGACTTCAATCTTAACGATCCTGAATGTTCAGGATCGTTGCAAAATTGGCTGGACGAAAGTCCCAGCAGAACCACAAAAAAAAAGACTCGAAGAAAAATAGCGGATTATTTATCGGTACACCTAAGAATATTCTCATCATTTTCCATCGATTTCTCTATAGTTTCGCGATTCGTTACTTCGATTAGACGCTAGTGGTGATCTGCTCGATCACCGTCACGTCCCTGTGTCGTCTCGGCCGACTTCTGTACGAGTCCTGATGGCTCAGACCCTCGGGAACGCTCTTGCTGGGTCTCAGCGGGCCGTAGAACTGCGGTTGATAATAGTGTTCGGTAGTGTGCATCCTCTCGGCCTCCCGAGACCTTATGGTCTCTTCGTCCAGTGGCACGTGCAAAGATTGGGACTTGGGCAGCCTGGGCCTGGGCGGAGGTGGACAGGCGCACGGCGGAGGAATCGTTACGTTCGAGAGGTGCGAGCCAGGCAGAAGAGGAGACGCTGGCTGGCGACCCCAGCCCACCAGGAACAACAACGCTGCACCACACAAGGAACTTAATGTGCACGCGTAGTAACCCACCCTCGAGCTGTTCCCGTTCATGTAACCTGTAATTGCGAGTCGGGAGCTATTATTTGTCGGGTGATATTTGCATTCTAGGAACTGTGGTAGCTTATAATGCAGGGCTGCTCAATACGGTGGCCCGTAGGGCAGTGTTGTTGCCCGCAGGGTAGTGTTCTTGCCCGTAGGGCAATATTTGGACAGCAATTGTAAATTTGCTGCTTGGAAATTCTTGAAATAACGAAAGTCCTTATTATGGTAGACCCTTGATAAGAATTTAACTTCTTCGACAATGTGAAGAATACTCAAATGTTCCTCAAATTTCGTTCCACAGTTCCTATTGCTCTACACCAGCGATGGCGAACCTTTTGAGCTCGGTGTGCCAAAATTGGGAAAAAACCTAGTTTAACTCGGGTGCCGTGCCCATTCTGAACCTCGTTGATAGAAGATAGACACCGTTGTTTTTCGTTGTTGTTTGTGTGATGATTATTTGTGATCTGCTCGGTTTCGGCTGTGAGGTGACTTAAGTCGACGCGTGTCACCTCTGACACGCGTGTCATAGGTTCGCCATCACTGCCATAGAGTATAGTTTTGTTTGCATTGTATACGTTTCTCTACATGGTACATAAATAATCTTCCCTGCTCTTTCGACATATTTGTTGTATTCGATTTTCATCTTCTTCGTGCACATAACCGTACAGACTGTATACATACCGCACAGATAAATCAGTCTTACATACCAACCCACGAGTAACGTTTTAAGAACAGTAGTGCTATATGATTGGCCGCGATAGATAAAAGGAATCCGAGAATTGGTATTATAGGCAATTAAAGAATAACGCGAATGAAAGGGAAATGATTCCTTGGGTCTAAAAAGACCCATCAATGGTCCTGCGAGGGGTTCGCGAGTCGTTTAATACTTGAGTCGAAGCAGTGGAAAATATGTAGATTGTTGGAAGAATATGCTTCGTCGATTTTTTGAAAAGGAGAAACATTTACCAGTGTTGCTATAGAAAGAACCTAACTGAGGACACTTTTATAGTTTCGAAAATTCTTACAGAGAGAAATTTTGTTGAAATCGTTTAGAAAACTTTTCTGTGCTTTGTCGTTACATCGTACACTTTGCGCACACTTAACAGTGATTAAGGGGTTTTTCCGTAATTTTGCTTAACTTTAACAATTTCCTTATTTTCAATTCCTTATTTTAGCCTCACAGCCAAGAAATTTGGACTTGGTTTAGACTTATCTTATCTTTACGAAACTACCTTAATCTACTCA